CTCTCTCTCTCTCTCTCTCTCTCTCTCTCTCTCTCTCTCTCTCTCTCTCTCTCTGTCTTTCCTCTCTCTCTCTCTCTCTCACATACACACACACACACAATGTATTGTAATTATTAAGGAAATAATTAATCGCTAAATCAGACCCTGACTCACGGTATCATGTCAACGCTACTTCTAATCTTCAAGAATTATAACTTTAAATGATTTTAATATATCAAGATCTAAAATAAATATTCCGCAAACGCTTAAAAGTCGCTTAAAAGAATTTACCGAAAAATAAACACCAAAAACTGCGAAATTATGAAATTTTGCAAGCCATAAATTATACTTACTCTTGTCGCTTAATCTTATTTACACGTACTTTATGTACTTTAAGCAGTATTGCGTACAATCTTTTGCAACTTATGAAAAATCTACTCTTTTGAATAATTATTAAAACGGGATGAAAAAACGAGCTCTATAATTTAATCTAGAAAAATCAGAGTTTTGCAAACGTCTTACACTTAATTACGTCTTTCGAACGATTAAAACAATTACGACCTAATTACACTATATTGCCGCTTTATCATCATTAATACGAGTAACGCAGACTTGCATTAATGTAAATCGAGTGGAATGAAGTGGAAAGCAACGTTTTAACATATGATGTTTATATAACTGTCAATTTTATATAAAAGTACAGTAGCATTTTCAATATTTCAGATTCAATTCCTCAAGCATACTGCAGGTGTCATTTGGAAATTGCAGTCAAATCGTCTAAGAATTTAGAATGAAGACGCTCGTGATCATTTTAAATGTGCTAATCGCACTGGTGAGTACCAAGCAACACATAGAGTAAAGCGGGGTAATTTGGATTATTTCAGACTTTTTAAACAATTTGTCGAAAAGTAATAATTTTATCCTTACATTGAATATGTAACAAAAAACTCACATGTCTAAGGAGTATTTACTCAATATATGAGAAATTACTCTTTAAATCTTAAGGAGTAATGCCATTATCCAATTTACCCCTACAATTTTAAAGATCAATTTTAAGGTAATTCGGATATCTTAAGGGGTAATTTGAATAATATTGAAAATAAACATTAATATTATAACAAAAACATGAATTTAAATGTTGCTCTTTGAACATTTTATTATACTTTTTAGATCAAATTGAACATAAATTAGAAAAACATGTCATAAAATTGAATACAAATTAGAAAGTCAAAGTAATCATGTTCCATATAATATTTTAAATACAACAAACATAAATAAACTAACATTAACTAAAATTAACATTATAATTATAATTATAAAGAACATTATAATATTATAATAAAAGTAAAACATTATATTTATCTATTGTCTTTTTTATATTAAATTTCACTTTTTAAACAAAATTAAACAAAATTTAAGACAATTAATAAGGGAAAAAAGTAATCATGTTAATGTTATATAAAAATTCATATACCAGGGCCACAAATGAACTGTTTTTCTCATTGGCTCCAACGTATTGCTCATGATACCATGCTGACAATGGATCAAGTCCCCTTTTTTTATAGAGACATTTAAATAGTAGCTGACTTTACAAAATGCATAGTCAAGTTTTTTCTAAAACACTATTAAACACAGCGGGGTGCCCAATAAAAGTGCGAGCGACTTTATATTTGTCTTTGATTAGATTGAACTTTTCTGTATAAAGGGTATTTTATAAGGAACGTGAAATAGCTATGCAGCTCCTAAAATGGACAGCACACCATCAATAACAGATGTAATAGATGTAATACCTCATACTTTCTTTGTTCCAATTTAGTCGAGTATCTTTTTTTCATAATGTCTCACCATTTGAAATAACGAAATGTGTCTTAAAACAGTTGAAATATATACACGGTGGACCATTTTACGGGACCCACCCAAATTTTTCCATAGGTAAGCCAGATATAGAAAAATAGTTAAGACAAAACTTGTTCAGGACAATAGTGGTCATCTTTCTCAATAAATGAATTTGATCTTGAGGTCAAATTTCAAGATCATTTGGAGGTCATAGTGATTTTTTTAAATAGAACCGCCTACTTTTGACACCGGATTCGAAGAGAACGGGAAATTTTACGTCAAAAATGATATTTTTAAATTTTTTATTTTGACCTTCAGAAGGTCAAATCAAGATTTTAAAAGCGCTCAGAAGCTGTTTGTTTAAATGCGATTATCTTACTTTTAGCATTACCCAGAAACAACGACGTGGACGTAGTAAGTTCTGTTTCTTTTGGAGTGCTTGATTATCGTGAGTCCCCTTGTCTCTTACGGTAAACAAGCACTCCAAACGTGAGAGGCAAGGGGACTCACGGTAAACAAGCACCCCAAACGTGAGAGGCAAGGGGACTCACGGTAAACAAGCACCCCAAACATGAGAGGCAAGGGGACTCACGGTAAACAAGCACTCCAAAGGAAACAGAACTTACTACGTCCACGTCGTTGTTTCTGAGTAATGCTAAAAGTAAGATAATCGCATTTAAACAAACAGCTTCTGAGCGCTTTTAAAATCTTGATTTGACCTTCTGAAGGTCAAAATAAAAAATTTAAAAATATCATTTTTGACGTAAAATTTCCCGTTCTCTTCGAATCCGGTGTCAAAAGTAGGCGGTTCTATTTAAAAAAATCACTATGACCTCCAAATGATCTTGAAATTTGACCTCAAGATCAAATTCATTTATTGAGAAAGATGACCCCCATTGTCCTGAAAAAGTTTTGTCTTAACTATTTTTCTATATCTGGCTTACCTATGAAGAAATTTTTGTGGGTCTCGTAAAATGGCCCACCGTGTATATTAGGGAACTGAGTGTGTTATCTAAATTACCCCATAAAAATGTATTCAAATTTTCCCATGCGCCGATATAAAAACACTAATATAGTACTACAATAACTCAACAAAATGCGCCACTAATCGACGTAGTGATCGCTAATACATGCGGGAAACATTTTAGAGTTATATTGTTATCATAATTTTTACGTAGATTTTATAAAATTTTAAGCTAGCAGAATATATTCTTATAAATTACAGTAACAACAGAAGTTCTCTACCTACTCTGCTTAATGTAAAATATTTCAGATTCACAAATATTCTTTAAAACTTGTATAAATATGTAGATCACAGTATCTTCCTTACTGCTAACCTCAAACATAAAACAAGGCGTCTCATATTTTTCTGAAATTATCGCAAACGCTTAATATTATCCAAATTCCCCCGCTATTCAATTTATCTTGCTGTACCCTAATCTGTATTTTGGGGCAACTAATTCTCTCGGATTTTAGGAAGTCGTGTACGGCGATATAAATGCTGTGAAGCAATACAAACAAGCCTATGAAAAGTGCGCTCAAAAGATCAAGGCACCCGTTGGTAAGTATTACCATCGAAAACATTCGGGAAGAGATAATTTGAAAAATAATATTATCTTTGCGGTAATAATAACATTCTGAAGAGAAACATAGAATAGTTTCCTTAAAACAATTTTATTATATAATGTTCTTCTAAAACCATATTTCTCTCTTTTTCTCTTCTCAGACCAGCTCCGAATTGACACGCTTATATGTGTGGCTATAGAGGATGGTGGCGTACGTATATCTCTAATAATTAAGAATTTTTTTATTCGACTCTTAATGTTCAACTTAAATTTAATGCATTCAGTGGAGACAAATTATTTATCTATCAAGTAGTCGCTATTTATAATTGCCAATATAAATATTTATTTTGATTTTTAAGGCTTCCATGAAAAAATATTCAGTAAGGTAATACTGAATACTTTCGAGTTAATACTGCTTTTTTCGAAGATTTTTTCGATGTTTCGTAAATATATCGACTCAGATTGCTCCTCTTCTTAAATAAGCAAATTGAAATATTCACGATATATTGGAAACAATTCCACGAAGAACACGACATGAAACCAAAAGCCAAACCGAGTAAATCATAATTATATAAAAAGTGATCGGTTTACTGTAAAAAAAAATCTTAAAATCAAACAAGCTTACCAATTAATTTATAACTAACAAATTATATATTAGTAAAAATATATTTTGCTTATATATAATATGAATAAGATACACTTTTTTTCTGCAATCAAAAGATTGAATTTTATCGGTATGTTCTATGTAATAAAATAATAAAAAAGTGTTATAATATATATTATAACACTTGTTATAATATATATAACGTGTTATAATATATATTATAATAGAACCAAGAATATTTCGTTAAAAATTGTAACAAATGTTTTAATTTAATTCTATTAAGAAAACACTACAACTATTAGGGAAAGTGTTAGGCAAATTTCAACTGACTTGGATATAATAAATACATCATGGGATTATCTTTTTCACAGGTTTTAGACAAATATGGCGGATATATTGTGGAAGAATGTGCAAAAAGACTTCATACTTTAATTACCCATCCAGACAGATTGAAAAAAGCAACTGAATTATTTAATAAATGCGACAAGAAAGGTAACAAATTTTTCTAACGCCTATCTGTCGTTTCTTTTTACTCAAAACCTAATAGATATTATTTTTAATCTATTAAAGATCGTACATATAAAATATCAATACAAATTTGATATCTGACGAAGTGTTTGGTATAC